GGCGATGGGAGCGGAAGACGACGGCCATGACGTGCCAGGCGGAGGAGAAGGGTGGCGGGGGGCTGCGGCCGCAGAAGGTGCCCAGGAGGTTGCCCCGGTCCCGGGCGGCCCCGTTGTAGACCTGGAGGTAGTCGTAGGCGCAGGCAGCGTGGTACTCCAGCTCGAAGTGGCTGAAGGAGAGCAGGACGGAGGAGCCCTCGGCCACCACGATCAGCCATGTGCACTCCGTCTCGTAGGGGTACGGCCCCGGGAAGTTGGGGCTGGAGAAATTGCCGGAGGGTGCCGAGAGCACCCCGCCGCATTTGATGCCTGGGGGACACAGAGGTGGATGTGATGCCCCCATTCCAGGGGAAGCCTGAAAGGATGGAGATGGGGTGCACAGCACCGGCTCCATCCCACCAGTGCCCTACAGCCCTCCGCTGGGCTCGACCACCCCTTCTCCCCGCGGGACACGTGTCCCCTCCGTCACCGTTCATCCCTCCACGTAACCCCCTTCCGCCCCCCCACCCCCAGCGTGGCTGCAGCAGGGCTTGGCCGTGCCCACGAGCTTGTCCTGCTGGTGATGGCACCATGTCCCCATCCATTTTTTCCTGATAAACAAAAAAGAGAAGAGAGTGAGTTTGAATCGTTCAGTGATTCCAGGTGCCCCGGCTGCCCAGCCCTTCAGCTTTGTGCCTCCCGCTGACGACGCTCCCTCCGTGGAATGGCGGCATCGGTGAATTCGAGCTGGGACAAATAGGGCTGAAGGGCTCGATGTGCTTAACGATGAGTTATGTACATAGGGAACGATTTTCTAATGAAATCCTTACACCGAGACACGGTTATTGTAAAATAGGGCAGAGGAGGGGCGGCTGCCACCTGCCCCTGGGCCTGATTAGGGCCGAGGTGAAGCGGCTGGCGCAGCGGGGACACACATCACGTCTTTTTTGGGGGGGGGGTCCATGCGGGTGTGCTGGCACAAGCAGCAAAGCTGGCCAGGTCTAAAATCGCCTTGCTAATTACTGGGGAGAGGCAATAAAGTAATATGGGGGTGGCACTAAAGGAATAATGTTACTGAAATAAATACCCCACGGGAGGGGTGAGTAGCCACGGGGCAGGCAGCTGGATGGATGAAGGGCTGGGAGCCTCGGGGTGCTCTGGGCAGCCCGGGCGGGTGCAGGCAGCAGCGGGGCGGCCGCTTGCCCCTTGGGAGCACCCGCACCGGGGCCAGGAACGGGGTTTTATTTCTGACGCAGCCCTTTGGGGAGCAAGGCCCTGCCGTTTTCGGCGAGGGGGATCGCCCCTTGGGCGAGTTACCGGGCTGAGCTGGCCCACCCGGCCCCCCAAATGACCATGCTGCCTGCTAACCCTGCCCTGCGCCCCGGGGGCATTTTATCCAGGTAAAGTGAGGGGTTTATTACATGCACAGCAACATGCATACATACATTCACATATACACGTGTGTGTGTGTGTGCATTTATATAGGCACGTGCAACTCCAGAAGTTAACACAGGCTTCAGCGAAGTGCCCGTACACCACAACAGGACAACCTCTACCTGCAACCTTGATTAAAACAAGCACGAAGCAGAAACTCAAGTGGGCAGCGGCGTCCCGTGCACACCAACTGCAGACCCCAGCTCCTTTCCCCAGGCCAAGCCACGGGGCCCCTTGCACAGGCTGAGAGCCGGCACCCGCTCACACCCCAGGGCCACTGCAGTGCCCGCAAACAGCCCTCTTCCTCCCTGGGGGCCATGGATGCCATCGGTCCCCACTGGGAGCTGGGACCGGGCTCTTACCTTGGCTGGGAGCATCCCCCAGAGCCCCGCACAACACGGCCAGCGCTGCCAGGCAGCCCGCTCCTGCGCACCCCATTCTCTGGCAGGCAAATCTCCCCTCACCGGCGCCCGAGCATCCTTTTGGAGCTGTCTATCCAGGAGGAAAAAAAATAAATAAAGAGAGAAATAAATAAAAAGCAGGCGGACTGTAGAATTAATAGCGGAATGAATAATTCATCTCTTGTTTGAATTAAGAGCGGCAAGGTAACTTGATCTATTCCTCCCTTCCTTCACTCAGTTTTAATGATCTGGATCAAATGTCCCAAGGATTTACACTATACCAGATACCTTGTCAATACACCATATTTAGAAGAGATATTAATGTTTCAGATACGCTGTATAACGGCAGTAAGTCTGGGCTGACAATACGCCCTTAAGGGGCTGTGAAAATAATTTAGTTCGCCAGGCAAGCCAGCGAACCAAAATGGGAATTTCAGACTTACCGCGGAAAAGCACCTCAGGAATTAACGTGATTTATACTGCGGCACCCACCGCACAAAGCCAGCCGGTGGTAAAGGCCAGAGAAATGGGGAACGGGTTTTAAAGGCAGCCGTGCCTCCACCTCGGCTGTCAGGTCAGCACCCCTGCAGCAAGTGCCCAGGCTCGGCGGGATGCTCAGCCCGGGAAAGCGGCAGTGGCGAGCACTAAAGATAGCAAATCCCACCTCCCCTGAGGAAGATTAGAGATGAATTGTGACTCACAGGCGAAAAATATCGATTATTATAGAACCTGCTAAGGCCCTGGAGAATTACCATGCTGGCTCGTGCTCCTTCTCGCCCAGGATGCAATCGGCTGAAGGTACCCAAGCCTTTGCGTTCAGTGGGAAAGATGTGCTCCCCGTGCTGTGCCACATTAGCTGAAGGAACCCCAAACCCAGCAGTGTTTCATTTCCTTCCCTCTCACCCGGGAGAGAAAAGGCTTTCCTGCTGCCATAACCCACACCCAGACGAACGCCAGGAAACAAAAACCCACGAGGGCGACCCGGCGTGGGGGACCTGTGCGAAAAAAGTCACCTTCAATGCAGCGGGGAAAGAAGCAGCGAGTATCTGTAAATCTCAGGCAGGGAGACAAGTTGCATTTATTAATTAAGCAATGAGGATCGATGCCGGAGACATTTCCTGTGGATTAATGATGGGCTGGGAGGAGCTGATGGCCCGAGGTGCAGCTAAGGACCATTAACGCCAACTGGTCATTAATCCCCAGGAAATGCTCCATGCCAAGGTCGTTAAGTGCCTGCATATATTTATGGGCAATAATAACAACAATAATATTTGTACAGGTTCTCTCCCTGCTGCCCGGCCTCGCTGAAGCCAAGCTGAGGGCTGGTGGGAGCGCTGGGTGGTCCCACCAGGAGCCCTCCGTCCTGAGCCCAGCCAAGGCAGGGGACATCAGGGTACCTGTCCTGGGGTACTGGGCACCGTATCGCCCCAGGAGCACCTTCGAACGAGGAGATGCAAGGCAGCTCTCCCCGTCCCAGCGCACAGCGCAAAGCTCCTGCTCCGGTGCAGGCTCTGGGCATGGCTGTGATGCTGGTGCATCTCCTGCTGACCTCCCAGGGATGCTGCAGAGCTTAATTAGCTGCTTTGCTAACGGGCTCTCGGAGAGAAGGTCTGTCACGCGCAGGGCCAGAGCCTGCAGC